AATTAACAAATGTTAAAGAAATGGTCGTAAATTAAAAACCGTTCTGTTAGAGCAACAGCACGAAAAGCTGCGGATGACGTTTCAAGTCCTGCCTGTGCCGTAAATAATTAAATTAAATAAATTAAAAATTTTCCCAAAAATGGGTTTTTAATTTATAAGCAATTATATAATGTGAACAATATCAAACATGTGTAATATAAATATGTTTAAAGACAAATGTTATCTATTTTAAATAAATTTATTATAACTATCTTATGTTTTTCAATTTTTACCTCTCATAATGAGAATTAAATTTTACATGTTTTATAGTTGTTAAAAGCAACTATTAATGAACACTACTAACTTTTACTTTATATAATCATAAGGATATCTTTTAACTGTATGTAAACTGTACTCTCTTTAATCTATAAGTGAAAAATTCTTTTAAAACTTTAAGTTTCATTGTTCTATAATTCGTATTACAAAATTGTTTATCACCGTAATCTGTTACGTTTTCCAAATATGATAAAAAAACTTAGATTTTTATTGGCAAAAAAATGCCCCCTTTTCCAAACCGGTAAATAAAACAAGCACAATCTATACGATTGCTATATGTAAATGAATCATAGAGCTAAATAAGAAACGGCGTAGGTTTGTCCTTGATATTGATAATTATGATTAATTAATGTATCGATCGTTATCTCTGCGAGTTCATTGCTCTGCGCCGATGTAGAGACAACCCCACTCAAGGCCATCTCATTGATCGCAATTCATTGATAGTTTTACCTGTGCGTCGTATAACGCTATTATCACGACGTAAGTGTGAAAAATTGAATGCTTTTGTGTGGCTCTAGCTTAAATACAAGATTTCATACATCATTTAGTCATAGTTAAAGTATGAGTAGATTGAACACTCATATTTGTATACAGTTAGAAATAGAAAAAACGTAAGGTACGTGTTTTTTTTGTATAAAAATAATTATCCATTGTTTTTGTTACATTTATTCTCATTTACAATAAAATAAAACATAAAACAAACTACATTAAATAATTCATTCTTTAAGATTGTCTTGACTGTCCGTCGTAGTGATTGACTATGAACGCGGTAAAGTCGAATGCAATGACGATTGGACAAATTGTCTAGTATCTGGGTTCGAATTCCGACATGATAGTTTAACTCTGGTCGAATAGATCTAGAAGCATCTGATCAAATAAAGCGCGTTTGGCTATTGTCCTATGTAAAAGATTTTTTATTGTCCACAATATAAACATTCTTGTGTAGTCTAAATAAAACTAGAAACTTAAAAACGTAAATTCCAAATTTGTTAATTAATGTTCTTAAATTAACTAATATGAAATACTGTCTATAGTTTACGCGAGTTTAAAAAAAACACTTTAATTAATATATCACGTTGTAAACTGTTAAAGTGTTTTATTTAACTAATATGTTTCATAATAATATATTGATCACATATCGATCATATTTATTGTATACGACTAACTACATACTTACAGACATCGTGTTAATTTGTTAAGTTTAAATGATATCCTTTAAGCAGTTTCTGTTACCAATAGGACTTCATTAAAGTATTTGACATCGAAAAACAATGGAATTGCAATAGTATTTGCATAAATGCCATTACTATCGCTAGTGACGCGCAAAGTCGCGGGTAAAAGTTGTCAATTAGTATGCGCGTGTGTATATTTGTGACAGGACGCATAACAATAGCCGGAATAGGAAGTGACCAGCAAAATGGCTGCTGCCTCTTCTGAGGAGTTCCGTAGCTTTTAAATTCGACAATTATATCTGTTAAATGGCGTCAGATCCAGATATGATCAAGATCATGGAGGTAGGTTGGAAAACAGGCGGGAAAACTAAGTTCTGATTTCGTTCCATAGAGTATACGTACATAATAATAATAAAACACTTTATTGCTCAAATAAATAGAATTAAAAGGTATTAAATACTGTCTGTCTCGTTTACGCGAGTAGTACACAGTTTAAATAAAATACTTTAACGGTTTAAAACGCGTTTTAAACCATTAAAGTAAAACAAGGAATTACTAAACAGTGTTCCTAGTTAAAAAATATTCATAATTATGTAATACTACACATTCTACAGTTCCACTGGTAGTGTGCACTATTTATCAAAGCCCCACAAACACAAGTAACAAGCAATTATATTGATAGCACTTACATAAGCTTTCTTTCTATAGTCTGTGGCTGGGTCCATGCACACGTTTACGATAGATCAAAGAACGTAACAAGCTCGTCTAGAGTTCGGTGTCAAAAACCTACCTAGCCCGATATTGTCAATCACCTCATTTTTTGCAAACATTTGTTCCAACGAGATAGTATTTTTTACATTGTATGCGAAATCATGAAGGTAACTTTTTTATTAGTTTCGCTTGTATATTATATTATAATCGCAATGGGCGTGATAATGTAAATATTTTGGTTAGACGACTAACATAACTAAAAAATCGAAAATAAATTGAAAAAATTTTCGACTCGGGCAGGACTTGAACCGGCATCGTCAGCGTTCCGTGCTGTTGCTCTACCAATTGAGCTACCGAGTCCTACACCTTATCGTCGAATTTGTTCAACTTATTGATACATGCACCTTGAAGATTGTAAAAAAATTACTTCCTGGGCAAGACTTGAACTGCAATCCACAGCGTCCCGTGCTGTTGCTCACCAATGGTGCTACCGTGTCCTACACGTCATCGTCGAACTTTTGCACCCAACATGACGTTTATTTCTTATTTCTGATAGAAGCACCTCGCGCAATTTTTTTATCAAATGCTATTGTATTATTACGTGAATGAAATCATAATATATCGTGTACAGACATTCTACTATTTTAATTTAATTTATTTTTTTGCAATAGCAGTGGATCTTCGCGTTAATTTTATATCCAGGTCGATATCTAGAATGTAAAGACGACAGGATATCCTTATCCTGGCCGTTGATTAATAAATGAGATATTATTTGTATTTCCCAACTTTTTGTGGTGCGGAATTGATTTTGTCACTTAGTTAAAGAGATATTAGACATGTTTTTTACTTCTAATTTTTTGTGTCGAGCACGAGTTATATTTTTATCTCGTGAATTATATAGGCTACGTACCTTTTCATTCATTCCATTCATTCATTTTTAGTCTATAAGTGTTTTCTTTTTGTGCTTCCAGCACAAACGTGACTTTTATCTTGTAAAAGCCTAAAAAGTTAATAAATCCCTTTCTTGTTTGTTCTGAGATCGTTGCTCTATGTTTGACGTCAATGGATGTTTTGTATCATTTCTTATTTGCAACATCTCCGAAAATTAAATAGCGGTAACATTCACTACTCTTATTCATTGCTGTACTAGAAAATAATCGTTACACAGCAGAAATACGGATATAAAAGTGCACGTAAATGCAAAAAGAAGCATCGAGGTAATCGCAATAAGCAGAGGTAATCGTTGAATTTTGCGGGAATATGCAACAAGTAAAATATAAAGGTATACACACTGAATATATTATCCCGATATGGTCTTTAGTTCATAGCAAGTTAGTCTACAAAGTCGTATTTTGAAATCTTACTTATCTTTAATTTTGGTAAAAAATAATATTTCCGATGCGTTTTCCAAGCAAAATAAAGGCTTAAATCTCACAAAATATGATTTGATGATGTACCCGAAGTCGCCAAATTGTTTTTTAACTACTCACATGTGTGTTTTAGTGACGACTAGATATTTTCTTTTATTATATTTTTAAACTGTGTATTATCGAGTCTTAAACTTAATATTCAAAATAAAATAATAATAATAAGCTCAATCACCCCACAATATAAATTTTGTAACTTGAATAACCTTTTTATCATATAATTTTGAGACTGTACATAACCTATAGTCTAACTGTATATTTCATAACACGATAGTCAGCTTTTAAACTACCTAAACGCTCCACCGTCGAATTGAGCTTTCAAATATTTACCATAGGAATACATCATGTATCGATCATTTTAATACATTTCAAATGAAATTATGTTCCTTGTAAAATTTTGTCATGACCTTCAGATGCTCTCGTCATGACTATGTCTGAGACATGGCAGGTTATAATTTCGCCACAATCATAAGTTTAGTCAAGACCACATATTTTAGTCTCACGGGAATTGAGGTCTTAGCCATTATGTTTCCAATACAAAATATTAAAAAATCCCTTAACTTAACCATGAACTTCTTTCGGAGAGCTAAAATATCTAGGTCACGAATACAATTGCATACTGCCCGCGGCACAACCATCGAACTTAAACTAAATTATTAAATTCGGGCTAATAACAAGTTTGGATTCATTTTGCTATGGCTTTACGGTATAAAAACTGCTTATATTAACTTTGAAATCTTTTTCTCTTTCAGATTGCATCCCAGATTTTAACGACTTGCAGGTAATTTACCAGATATTTTTATTGTAAACATAGGAATTAACATTTACATATTCACTAGATATTCCTACTATCTATTTAATATCATAATTTCTTGAAAAATTTTAAAATTCCAAAATATAAGATATAAAATATATAGATTAATAAGAAACATGTTCGTCAACATGGGTATCAAACCCAAACAGTTGATTATTAGCCATAATTTGCTAACATTAGTGTAGGTCATAGCAATATAACGATGATAAAAAAATATGTGTAAAAATTAACAATGAACTAATAAACTAAGTTTAAGTAACGTAGTAGGTACTCGATTTATAATAAAACTCTTTTGAGCGAACATAACTTTTTAAAATCTCGATGGCTACGCAGTTTATAATCTGTGACACAAGTGTCGCTGTCATTGTTTTCAGCGCATTTCATTGTGAATGTGAATTTCGAACTGGTTTTTTGAATATTTTTCGTGAGTCTATTTTTGAAGAAATTGTTTATTTATGTGAGGTCATGATAAAATATCATGTGTTATAAATTTCTATTGACAAAATTGGATACTGATTTTTCACTTGAAACTATTGAAAAAGAAGTGTTAGTATTGTCATCATGTTGAACGAATGGTCGCATCGGCGAAAAGAAGTAAAAGTAAAGAGGTTTCAGGTAAGTATTTTTGTTTTAGTAAAAATAAAAAATATTAGTAATCCCACGATAATTCCTCCGCGTTCATTTCGAAAAATGAAGGAATAATACGATTGTTTTATTTATTCGTTTTTATTCATGTTATACATAAGTAGACATTTTGTGCTGTTGTTTTTAGGATCTATAGCTTTACGTACCTAGACGGACAGCATATGTAGATTACCGTACATTTTAAAATGCATAAAATTTTAAAAGTATGGCAACTTAAATTTGGAAAAGACAAAAACGCTTTAGTGGAGCCAACCGCCGCGGTCTGCCCACCCAGTCGGCAGGCTACAGAGCTGTAATGCCGTTTGCTTGCGATCGTTGGCGAATACCGCCAATTCTTCAACGAGGCTCTTTCCTATACTAAACGTCGTTAAAGCTTACACGTTGATACAGAACTCTATACCTTCTCCCTTAGACTTAAAGGTATTAATCCCTAAAATTCTTTTTGACTAATTTTCCGACGGAGATAATGATTAAATTGTTTCGGCATGTCAGATCAAAAGAAATGATGCTGTTATATCTTGTTTAATAATAGCCGTTAAATTTTTGCATGTTTCGCTATCACTATTGATTGTGACAATATGAAGCAATTAATAATAATTCGTGCTAAATAGCTCCCGCTCTGTTAAAATCCTTTGCATCGTGTTCAAAATCGTACAAAAAAGCTTTTCAAAATGTATGACACATTGAATTTCTTTCATTGATTGGTCATATGTAGTTTAAACCTTATGTATCGTAGAGTATAATGTAGAAATGTCGGCTCTTACCGACCTAGACGTCAAGAAAAAGATGTTATCTCGCAAAAACGTTAATAATGCCCTAAGTACATGAGGAAGAGCTTGTAAATGAGTCAAGATGAATTAACTTAAAGGCTCTAATTACCGCCGAGGCACAAAGCGGCCGCTAGACGTGATCGTATGAAGCGGACGAGACTTGTTTTAAACATTCATTCTGATGTTCAGACAATTATAGAAAGCTTTTTGCACCTTTGTGAAACGTAATCTTCAAATACGTACAAGAAGTTACCTTATAATGTTAGACTAATTATATATACGTATTTATTCATAATGTTGATAAATGACGGGAAAAGATATATCATATCATCAATTTATATGATTACTTAATTAATGACTACGTCATATTCTCTCGCGCCTGTAGCGTAAGAAGACATTAACATACACGGATCCTCTGGAATATGAGTCATATAATAAAAGAAATGATCACGGGATCGTGGAAGTCGTGACGGGCAAAACCTGGATGTACTTAGTATGACTAAAATTTCGTCAAAATCACTAGTCATCGTTTGAACCATAAATGGTATGACTTGGGAATCGCGGTGGAGTTTCCAAATTAAAACAATGATCACAATATCAATTTCATCATGGCGTATGATTTCTTCCCTAGATTTTTCCTTCTTGATTTTGTTTTTACCTACTCGGAGGGATATATTCATTTCGTGAAGATCAAATAGGACGTGCAGACCGATCTCCATAAGAACAATTTGCGTTTTTATGGTACCCAGTACCATGTAGGTATAGTGGATACATAATTTAAGACTGTAATTTAAAATCCATTATAACAAAATTCAGTAAAAGTTTTCTTCTTTGTTTTATATATTAGTGTTAAATATTTCTCTGTCCTGCTCAACCGAAATTATTATGAAGATTGGGTCTTAAAGAATTTAACAGAAATGCATACAGTGTCTTATATAATATAATTTCAAGAAGCGATTGATTTTCATTTAAATTTTTATGTGTCAAATATATAATTTTCATTCAATAATTATATAACTTTCATTCGATTGGTAAATAAGTATTGTTACATCGATTCTTGATCCAAATGAAGATAATCGCTAAATGCCGACAAAGTAGGGTGATACATAAATTATTCACTTTAATAGGCGAACTATGGTCGGGGGCGTATTGTTGACGTGCAATTTATCACACACAAACGTCCCATGATAGGTCTATTGATATAGTTTGAAAACGAATTTCACGGTCTACACTTGTTAAAAACTTAATTGTGCGCACGAAAGGACAACATTGTGTTCGGGCAGCAGCGACCTAACAATACAATACAGCAGTGAAAATGTCGACTGTTTAGTCGCACGCTAGTTTTTGTGGCGACGTTTTATAGACCTCCAGAGCGGGCCGAGCTCACTACCGTTAAAGACGAAACAAAAGATTAGAGTAGAGCCATTAAAATAAGGCTATGTCCCGACAATACATCAATTTATTGCGTCATATATAACCTAGTGAAAGTTAACTCTACTATTGTTTCACGTATTTGTTTGTTAACGGTAAACAGAACACAGCTTTTACACAAAGGTGCCGCACTTGTACAGAAGTCGGGTGTTATACAGTCGCCAATAAACAGTTTGCGAAATTTAATGGCTTTTATATTTTATGTTAGCTTGTTGAGCGAAATTGCCGCGACTTATTCCAAATTCGAAACTTTTGACTGAATTTTAACAATTCCGCAGGATTGTTAAAATCCAGTATCGTTCACAAAGTGACGCATCTCTTTGTGAACGATACCGAAATATCCAGAGACATGTAATTACTTTAATAAATAATTATATAGCGTTTTTATAAATCTAAATAAATGCAGTTTATAAGGAACCGTAGTAGTTTCCCTTATAAATCAAATAACTTAAATAATCAATACTTAATTAATTAAGACCATTTTTATACATACCTAACTGTTTACCTGATTTTAAAATAAAACGTATATGTTAAGCAAATGTAAGCAAAAATACTTCACCCTGTTTGTTAATCGCCGTATAACATTCAATCCGGTCTCTTTTTTATTAGGTGTTTATAACAGGCCGCTAAAAAATTGTTTAATTGCGTTTACTTCTTTGATCCGGGCAAAAACCATGTTAATGCAAAAACCTATATAAAACGATTGTTACAAATAAATATCATCACCAAGGTTCATAAAACCAAACATCGCTTACACCTATGTAGAAGGTACTTAATTAATTACAAAGAGCTCCTTAAGGGATATTTGTAGATTTTAAATAAAAAGCGTTCATTAGTTAATGTACTTGCATAAAAAAAATATGTCTCCACTGATCTTTTGTAAGCCGTCTGTGAAATAATGTGGTGGAAAAATTATACTTACAAGCTTGAGTCACCATCAGATAACTTGTACATTAACTACTTAATGTTGATAATATGGGTATTATACAGTAAACGAATAATGAGTCCAATAAGCGGATTAGATCTACACAATATTGTCATTAGGTGGATTCGTACCGTTATAGTTACAAGACGTATACTTTCCCACGACTTCCCTAAAGATTTTCCTGTATTACCTGAGTATCTACTTAGATACACAGGTGAAATATGTAAACGTAAAACGTTATATTAGAATACTTATTTTTATCCTTTTTGCTTTGTGCTTATTATTTTATTTAGTTACATACTATATTCAAATCAAAATAATTGACTATGACGCCTTGATAAATTCAATACCTATAGGCTTACAATCTGTTTTTCCTACCAGTTTTTGACTGACCTAGGGGTATTATACATATAATAGTTGTTCTATATAACAACACGGGTCAGGGGTTTTCTGCCCACCGGGCAATTTAAATAATCAAAACATGCCATTTAAAACATTAAAGTACTATAAAAATAGTTGCTAAAATGCATTATCATCCTTACTATGGCTTTGGTAGCCAAAGGTACAAGTACAGTTAGTCAAGCATTTTCCTTACTCGCAAGTATTAGTCAGATATGCAAACATAGATTTTATTATGGAGCAAAGTCTTAACTATATGAGAATGGTTTAAAGTCCTATTTATTTTAATAATAAAAGATGTTCTACGACATAAAGCATATACGACATATATTTTCTTAATTATAAGGCGTCCTTTTGAGACAGGCCTTGCAGATATGTTTTGTCTTTTAAGCAATTAAGATCAATCAATGGGTATCGATAGTGACGACATCGCAATTATAAGGAACAACAGTCCTCAAACAGTTTCCACAGCTGGGACTCGGGCCTGACGGTACGTTGTTGAATTTTTGGTCAAAATTATTTTTTCCTTCGTTGGAGAGACTCTATAGCAACGAACGCAAAGATAATATTTGATGCACGATCGAGGATCCAAACCGCAGATCGAAAGCGAATCGTTATCAAATTAAAACTCCAACGCCGTCATTAATCAGATAATTAAAATGGAATAGAAAATGTTCTATATTTGTAAAATTACTGTAGGCAAGTAGGTATTCTCAGAAAAAAATCCTTCCTTTAGAGGCAAGATTTTTCACGTCACGTTTTACCGTTCACTACGTCGTGTTAGCATCGAGCATGACGTCACGTCATTCATTTTCTCAGTATCAACGACTGGTATTTTTGTATCAATAAGAGTCGCTATTTTTAGAATATGGTGTACTTTTTAACGTGTACCGCGTTTATCTAAGAGGTGGGTATCTCAAATATTTGACAGATCCAATGCGTACGGAAACTGGTTTGACGTATTCAATGACAAAATATATGCTAGTATATGTGCAATAACATATTATGATCGCTAGAGTTAAATACGATATATTTTTAACAGTTTTAATGAAATCAATACTAAATATAATTGCTTTAAGTTCACTTATATATACATATATATATAGAACTGCAAAAGTTATTGTTTATTAGTCCTTTAAATATTTATTTTAAAAACGAAATATGAGAATGTCAAACTGTTATCAGTGTTAATTAGTGCTTGATGCTAACTCGTGTAAGTCAGACAGCGCGTCGACTAAAAAAGCTTCGTCTATCAAATACAAAATTCAAAGTGAATCTAAAATGGAATATACATAATAATAATTTAACTGTTGCTTTCATATCAATTTTATTACTCAGTAAAAGTATTATTTATTGGTTTCTTTAATATATGTACCCATAGGTCGTGACCTAAAGGTACATATATTATATATACTGGATACATATCTATGAAATTATCGACAGGAAACTCCCGCTGATAGACACACAGGTGTTAGTGATGGCGTGACAGGTTCATAGAACTGAAATGTGACGTAAGGTCTCATCCGGACTCGTAGCTGAAGATTAAGAAATGACGACACATAAAATTACGTTCCCATTTCTGTGTAGCTTATCTAATGTAAACTTCGTAAATTCCTCTCGTACTTGTTAGTAAGCCAATTTTCCTTATGTTTCGCTTAGAAAAAATTAACAATTCAATCACTCACTGCGATTCATTGCGATTGTAAATCCTTATCTTAATTAGGCAGCAAACAGTAGTTCTTAATGTTACCTTTTAGTTGTGGCTTCATTATGTCATATAATTAGGAGCAAGGGTTAGTTAAAGGTAATTATAAATCAGCAGGTAGGTGAAGCATTTTTGTCGGATTTTATTAAATTTAACCTGTGTGGTAAAAATAAAAAAATCTTTTGAAGTTGAATAAAACTCTATTTTTCTATGAATTTTACGGGAAATGTTGTATATTTACTTGAAAAGAATATTTTTATATTTAGACATAACGTTTGTAAATTGTGAGCTAAGGTATGTTATTTATTACACCTTTATCTCTGCTTTAATTAGTTTATACCTATTTGGCGTAAGTTGACAATAAGCAGTTATTTAAATAAGTAAGTAATTCTTAAGTTATTTAAATATAATTTTTCAAGTAAAGCATTGACTGTTTTCTATATAACATTGCACAAATGTTGTTTAATTCTTACATTATATTGCACAAGGACCAATATTTTAAGAGAAAGTTACAATCTTTACAGATGCCTAATGAATGAATTCCGTAAGAGATCTGACTCAACTGAAAATTTACATGACTAATGCGAAAAGTAGTCGCGTTTATACACTGTGAGTCAAACTGAAATAAATCGCTGAAATTTTAACCCTGAAACTAATAGGAATATGTATAGAGATTTATCTTCGTCAAATGAATTACAATTACCATCGAAACCGAAGTGGGAATTTTTATAAAATTAATAAACCATCTAATGAATCACACAACAATTAAGAAGTCGATCAAGGACTTGACTTTCGCATCCTAAAAAGCGATGACGTTATATGCTGCCACGATGTATGAACGAAATATTCCACAGCGGGAAAATTTCCAACCCTTGCACACGTAGGACCCGGACCCTCGACTACATAGAGGTACTTTCAACTGGGTGGGATCGAGACCCGCCTCTGCGCTTATTGGTTGCCGCCGGCCGGGCTGGAGAACCCCAATCGCTATTCGCTCTCCCTCGCCCCACCGCCATCAACCACGTGCACTAGGCTTTATCATTCGCGCCATCACACCATTTCATTTAGTCGCTCACCTGACACGACGCGTGCGACATCAATTTTGGGGATGTCAATGGCGATCGGTGGTTATGGATTACACTAAGATTCCGTACTTCGCGACATTTAGACAAGCCGGTACTGTGATAATTAGATTAAAGATGGATGCGTCCGACAGCTGTTGTAGCGGCCCCTCGCGGGTCCCGATCTATCCAGGTCCCGTGTTTAGACCGACAGATTGTGAACAATGCTCTAGGACCAGATCATATAGCAGATATAGTGACTGTGATAGTGAATTAGTGGACAGATGCCGACCTTACAGATCGAGTGTCGCCAGAAGCAGTAAGCTTTTTTTTAATATGTCGCATCAATTTATTTATGAAATGCTCTTAAACATTAATATATTATTGACTAGTTTATTTCGTTTGAACTTCAATAGAAGTGAGTAGGATATTAATTTGTATCTAGACAATTTTCAATATTGAGGTTTATGAGCTTTCATAATAAAAGGTTTCATAAGTGTTTTTTTTTTATAAAATTAGTTATTCACGTGAAATATTTTCGACATCTTTTTAATGTAAATTATTAGCCTTAATAACTTAGCGCGACGTAAATAATACAAAAGTATGCCAAAGCTCAATAGCTAAAGTTAGCGATACCTTAGTCGTGCACATAATGTAAACAATAAGGGGGCATCCCATAGAAATAATCTTATCGCAGCAATTATACAACAGTGTATTAAATATCTTAGCTCGATTTATAAGATAAATATCCGGTTTAAAGACAAGCATCATGTCATAATAGTGTCGTTGAGTGAGAGCTTAATTCAATTGAACTTTTATTTAATTCAGAACTCGACAACATTAAAAGGAAAAAGCTAATTTAAAAACATTGAATTGTTATTGCTTAATATTTGACAAAATCATTACCCTTCCATTTGGCTTCGCCGTCGTCGGTAAAACTCCGATCAATCTCTACAATGTTAAGCTCGAAGTCAGGCCGAACTAACTAGGCTTAAACTGCAATTAAACTAAGGTACTGTTACCGGAATGACATATCTGACTAAATGTTTCTATCCTTTAAGAGTCATACAGTTATGCGAGTACTTCGGAGGGTGTTTCGTAATTAGTACCCACTTCGCTCGGTTGCAATCTATATAGGGCCATCAAATGTTGATGTGTGGACGATGAAATGCATAATTTGCGATTCATAATTAAATCATCTTCAAACACATCGCAACACAACGCTTAGAATAGAGTTCTAAATATCGGTGTCTATATGTCTATACACCGCCACAGGTAGTCCACTAACTATAACTATAGGAGTTATGATAAGATTTTATTGCAGGATTTCTCTGAAAATTGGTCACATATAAGTAAACTTAGGCGATTTTTTTACATAGGATCCATTCCTCCAGTAAGCATCAACAACAATATTAACCATTTCCCTAACAAATTATCATTATTGAGGTACAAAAATAAAAATAAAATATACTTATCACTAATGCCCTATCATTTATAACTTATTTTGTCCATTAGTGACTTCACTTGATAAGTTTAGATCCGCTTTATATTAAGGCCAATATGTCTACATATTATATTTGTAATTATTTCAACCGCAACCGAACCATAATAACCAATAAACGATCATAATAAGCACATTGTTTATAAAATATTTCGATCATTAGAATGTAACCAACTTCCGGCTAACCTATTTCTTGTAATACCAGGATAAGACGGTTTTTTTAAACTCGAATCATCATCGTTTAAAAACCACCCTACTCACTAGCAAACGGAACGCTCAAATTATTTTTCTCAAAACAAATCTTTTTCGAATTTGAAAGAAAGAATTGTAGTGACATACGTATATCAACATTTTACAATGAACTGTTTTAAAGGAACTGTCGTGACTGATCTGGGTGTTAAAAACCCAAATCATATCCGCATTTTGAAGAAATACACTTAGGTTTATTTCACATCCGCGATTTTAATAGCTGATATAAGACCTACCTGTAACTAATAAAATGTAAGTTTTTTAAAGTAAAAAAGAACTATTCATATAAAAAGTATTAAAATTAACTGTCATAGCAACTCATTGCGGCTTATTGATATTTTATACAACGTAACTAAATGTCAAGAAGCAACTGTATGTGTGTACAAGAAACAAATGAAAGAAAAATTCCCGAGTTGATAGTTTAATAGCGGTGTTGAATCCCCGCTCGATTTCACGAACTATGTCTACGTCATTATGTCTGCAATCCTTTACGTCATTAGCAACATTTTCAAATAAAACCTCTCAACTTACTTAGCAACAAATTACCCCCTGCACAATTAACGACAGTTATTCCAGGGAGCTGGAATCATGGCAACGATTATAATTGCACATAACACGTATCTACACAAGCCATACTAGCTTAGGAGCTACTTTTTTTCTTCCAGCTCGTCTAAATACAAAAAAATGTAATCCCTTATTAAATAAAGCGTTCTTGCTTAAAATTAAAACTCGAATATTGATAAATCAATTCCATCGCAGCGAAACTTCCTTGTTGAAATGCCATTTAGTGATTTTCACTTAATTATGAATACCGCAGGGTACTTTGTGATAAGACCCGCCACGCGCGAATTCGCGCGATAATTTGTCTTATTATGCGCAGTCAAATTTTACGAGCACTTGGCTGTTAACTATCTCGGGCTAAATGGTGGACGAACGTTCTCAATTTAAAACTCCAAATTTGATGGTAATTTAATGACTCTCTTTGTTTCAATTTAAATTACGGAAACAGTTACATGGCTAAATATTTCACAAAACAGGGATCGGCGGCACGGGCGCAATGGTTTTTTGTGAATTTTAAAATCAAAGCCACATTATTTATACATTTATTATTACAGGAATATAAAACATAAAAAATATATAATTATTATATGTAACTACATAATTCAGTTTTTTTTTTCGAGCCTTTAATAAATAATCTTCTTGCCTCTAAACGCTACGCTCGTAGATATTGGAGACTAGAAGGACGTAAGTACGGGGCGCCAATACTTCAAATGTACAATAATGTTCCAAAATGTTTACCACATGTTCATACTTCTTAATAATATAGAATTAATTTATAACGCTCGGAAGGGCTTCAGGAGCCTTCCTTCTTTAATTAGAATCAGCTGATATATATGAATCAGTCGCGTATATCGTAGGACGCGTTTTATATAACGGTTACGCAGGCGCCGATCACATAGCCAATGTTAAACAGAAATGCGCGCATTTTTCTCAGTTTTGGAGTCGAAATTCTAGTTAGCCGACGCGCGATTTCTTTTCAAAATGGTTAACAAGGTCCGCTCGTTTCGGTCGTTTTTCGTACCGCACAGTCCGCTTTTGTGTACGAGCGAGCTGTTAAAAAATAAACGAATTCTTTGTTTCTCGGGTAGTCAGGCCGACCTCCGACGCGGTCCCTACTTTTTTATGCCCCCTTATAACCTGTGTATTACCTACGTGTAGGTATCCACGGTTTTTATGGTCGGTCAGATCTTCAATGGGCTAAGGAATTCGATCGAGTCTCCTCTTTGTCCATTTATATTTTTTAACAGAGCAATTATTGATTCTTTAAATGAGATAGCTACTATTGGTATCTCATAATTCAGACTCAAATTTTCTTTGAGTACTTCTTTAAATCATGTCTCGGCACCGTGGAACTTTATATTGTGGACAAGAGGTTGATTAAAAAGAGATTAGATACGAATTATTTAAGAATTACTCTAACTGAAGGGTTTCAAATTATAAGACATCATAACGATCGGCGACTCTACGTCTTTTTACAAGCTGTTCGTTAGTTTTTTTCGTTGAACTTTTGCCGGAGGTGAGCTGCGGTTGCTTGCTTTTGACCGGCGCACTAATAAAATGTTATGATCGTGTGTTTAACGCGTGTTGTGTGTCGGGCCGTCCTTTTGACATGATCGTTATAGCCCGACTCCACCTCTGCGGTCGCCTTTTGTGTGTCGAGTGGAACAGCTTTGTTATTGTATCAATTAAGTAGTATAGCGTCTATAACTAAATCACATCTAGTTAAGTGTAACAGCGCGGCCATTAGTTTACGCCATCGTTAAAAATCAAAATGAAATGGAGTATATCGCGATTTCGTTTCGTTTCAAAGGGGCGTGTGATAATCGGGTTCCGTTTACGGTTTAGTTAAATAAAAAGCGGCGAGGCTTCTTATAACTATAATTTTCTTTTATTTGGCCGCTGAAGCCGCAGGCTAAGCAACAAAATCGCCACAGAACTCGCTAACGAGACTTGAAAATAAACAACTTCACTCAATTTTACACGATCAGCAAATCGTTGCGCACTTTGCCTTTATTACATTGTAGACGTGTGAAAAACTGTATCGAAATTATCAACGAACTTTCAATACTTTTCTCTATTCATTTGTAAACATTACAGCAGGTTCACAGCTCTATGAAATAACGTAAAGTGTTGCGACATTAGTCACTAAAACAGACATAACATACATGAATCACGCATTGAGTCAAAACAGTAAGAGTAAATATGGGACCATCCATGAGTAATACCGAAATACATGATTATTGTCTACTTTTTCGCGATAATTACACCCCATGAAGGTCGATGGCCGTATTTACTTAACCGTCCTTTGAGTATGTACAATCACCCCTATATTAATATTTTATACTTGTTAGCATATTTTTCTCAAAAAAAATCTATTAATCTTTTTACGCGAATAAAAATTAATTTATATCAGTTGTTTACGCGAAACACAGAATAAAACATGTTCAAAAATGAAAGCAATACTTAATCACTTAATGAAATATAACTGCGATCTTTCAGTTGTCTTGAATCATATCATCAATAAATATAGTTCGTGTCAACTTTGCCTAACGCTTTAAGAGAAGAGCATTAATTAAATTGTGCAAGTCATACAGTGGTGCCGATCGAATCTCCACTCCGGTGCTACTAAATTGTACCGCATTAGTGAATCACACAAGTTCACCGGACAATTAGCAAAGGCTGTCCACCTCTGGGCCGCGATGTATTTATTCATCGGATGTTCAACGATTACCATAATCGATACCAACGCACGTTCCGCATACGGAACTAGCTCACAATTTCATTGACAAGATGCAACCGAATTCTATATGTCAATAAGTTTAGTTTTCCATCAATGCGTTTATATTAAGATTCTTAATTACGCAGCCTATTAAATCATCAGCTACCTGTTTCATTGTTTCGACCATCTCCCCAAAAGTATAAAACTCCACCTCAAAGTTCAGAATTTTGTAAATTTAAATTCGCGATACAAGACACTTACTGGGTGTCTCTTATTTTTGTTGTAATTTCCATTATTAGTTTTAGTTAAAATAGATTCTGACATTACTTAAAGCTTGTTAGGTTATTTATCAACTTAAAAAATCGTTATCATAATCCTCGCATAAAAGTCCTTAGTAAACAAATGTTGCTCTACATTTTTTATGTTAATATGTCATACTCAATATCTGTCATTTGCAGGATACGTCAACGTCTGTGCAGCAGTTTGCCTTGTTCTTCTTGTTGGAGGGCTCTCGCCACAATCAACAGCAGCACCTCATAAACGTAATATGGACAGACAAAGGAGATCATCCACGGAAGAGAATATCATCTGGGGCAACCCGTGTGATTACGGCGCCAATGTAAGGAAGCTTTTCTCATTACTTAACACTTCATAATTTCTTCATTATTATTATAACTACAAACCATTGTTTTGATTACGTAAGCTCGAGGATTTTTTGCATATATCTAAAAATTTAAAACGTAGTTTGAAAGCGTTTGTTTTTTTTCCAGACCAAGCCGTCAAAATACTCAGCGAAACTCGCAAAAGATGTAGCGTCGCAAGCGCGGAATGCTCTCGAATTAACGTCGAAGTACAAAGACAAATTCGTAAGTATTTAAGAACTATATTCATTCATTCATATTATAGAGGGCTAAACGTGTGACGAGACAATTGCACCGTAGTAATGGTATTGATATGCCCGCCGCGTAGCGCTAAATGAACGGACGCAGCCTGCGACCGACCAATACAAATATTTCTTTCAAACTTAGGACATCTTATACACCTTTAAGTGATTCTATTAACAAGAAATCGGGACATCCGTAACAATTTCCCAATGTGTAAATAAAAGGCACACGCAAATGGTTCTACATTATCTTAGTAAAGTAGTAAAAAGGTACAGAAACAGTATTCGTGTTATAAATTATTTCTTCCAAAAAATGTATTTGCAAAATTTCAACCATTAGCGATTCCTTGCGTGCACGATTTTAGTGCCATTTTCTCACCGCGTCGGTCGGCGTGGAAGAGAGATTACATCGGCGCGGGCGCCGGCCGTCGGTTTCGCCTCTGCAGTACGTCCGGCCACTGCCGCTTCCTCCCTTTTAATTATAATTTTGCACTGCGTTTATTTGATGCCAAATCACCACATCGGCGGGCCTTAATTTTGTTCGCGTTTTAAACCCCTTCATTACGTGTACTCCCAAAAAATTACATATTACATTCACGCTCCGAAACCGATGGCGATCGAATTTGCATTCAGGAATTTTTATGACTGTACCTCCGACAATAGGAATCACCGATAAAATAATTCAATATAATCTCGAGAATATAATATTTCCGAATCGGAAGTGAGGCTCGATCGACGAGCAGTAATGTGGAGTGCCGTCGCGCCTCGAATCATTTATGGCTGACCTTCTACCGCGATGATAAATGTGAGTGCGGGCGGAATACATTTCTGTAACAATTGATAATAACAGCCAATGATTGAGTACCAGACGGTCAATGGAAAGGAAACAATGAATGAAATCGATTCTTGTAGACCAGCTGTGACAAGTGACGTCGGCGCATGAAGTATGGTAGCATTTGTAATAGGCTCGTCGCTCGTTACGACGGCGACGTCCTGTCCGCTCGCTGCTACCTCCCCGTCGTAAAATGACATTATCGACGCACAGTAGCCGGAACAAACTACAGGACGGTGCCCATACGCAAGGAATACTGATTGCGCATTAATATTTCACAGCACACCTGCCCGACGGTTTTTTCTGTCTCTCTCCTTAATGTCGGTCATTCGTCGCTAATGTATCATATTTATTGCGATTTAAACAAAGCTTTGGCACGATCAGATATCATTGCGGTAGTCACAAGGACGTTTACTTACTCTTTGTTTTGACTCTTTCCACTTTGTGATCTGGTACGTTGCAGTCGAGTGGATATCTGTGTGAGTTTTAGGTCTCGTGCATCACACAGACAAAGAGACAATAAAAATAAACGCGTGTTATACGGAGAGCAGTGTCGAAATTACTCGCGTTATCATATTCGGCGTCAGCTCATTCCTTATAAATAACTGGCCGTGCTTTACGGAGAACGCAATAACAAATTCAACGAACCCTACCGGTACTGTGTGACTCCGCTCTGGCCACCGTGTGAACTCTGAACACGCCACCTCGTTCGTGTTTTAGTCTACGCCCGGTGTCCGATTGTTTCATCGCATTTTGACGGTCAAATTGTTCAGATACAGATCAAAATAAAGGCATATTCGTTTCGTCATTTGATAATAGGTAATTTTAAAAGGAAATGGGCCCGTTTTGTAGGCGCGGTCTTTTGCTAAGCTCATCGCGCCGTTTCTCGATACATAAACATTGAATTGTCCATGACATTACATACAATATGTAGTATGTACAGTATTAGTGCGATAGCGTTGTTCACACAGGCGACAGGCTGTCTGCGGCGTCGGTTACGAGGGCGCACGTGTGTTGTAAGTACACGATAAGCGTATGTGTGGGTGCATGTTTGTTTGATAAGCTTCCGATGTTTCGAGCTAGCCGTCCGGATGCTAAGTCGTCGAATTTCTTATATCCCACCCACGAGTGTTGCAGATGCATTATTGCGAATTGCGTTACAGGTGTCTGTCAAAATTGTTATTCTGTTTTTTCCTTCTAATTATAAATTTAAGAATTAATATGTTTGCGTTTTCTCAAACGTAAGATTAGAATCATGCACTTTTAGTACAACCTTGTACTTTTAATACAGACTCACAAATGAATATTAAATATTATGTACAGGTCTTCAAACACTTTCTTACGCTTTGTAAACACGCCTTTAGTTTAATTTAAAAACCGCATAGTTCTAGATCCTCATATTTAAAGATGTATTCATGTTGAATGTTTTAAGAAGTACGTATGTGCCGGACGAACACCTGCGACTCTTAATATTCTATTACTTAATTGTCAACAAGGCACATTCCTGACAGTGAAATTAACGATAGTATCTTAAAAAGAATAGTAACTATATTAACAGTATAGCTGCGAGATAAAAATCACATAACATTTTTGTCATTTTTTTTCAAATATTCTCAATTTTTACGCTTAGGTATATATCGATCACTGATTTAATTTTATACTAGATACAGCTTATGATGGTAAATCATCATCATTTATTATGTCAAAAACTTGTACACAATTAAATTACGACAACACAGATAATATCTTGCTCAATAGAACGATTTTCGGTTGTAACTTGAATACGTTTAATCAATGTTATTGTTATGCCACAATATTTTACGGTAATCGGCATTTATATTGTAAAAGGCGAAATTATCAAATAAGTGTTGCATCTGCTTCCGGGTTATAAAAAAATGAACCTTATCCACTTGTAACACGGTACAAAATAGAATAGTGTATTACGTCGTTTATATCAGGACCTTAGTGTCAAATTTTAATGTCGAAACGGTTTTGTTACGTGACATGTCGGTAGTGGACACTACTCGCCAGACCTCCTATTTCGATGTCATCTTTCACACGACCTTGGCTGACCCATAATATTACGTATCAACATTTTTTCTTTTAAATGTAAAATACGTTTTTATCACTCTTGGAAATGAGCTTATTTTAAGAAATTAATTATGTAATATGAATACGAAAATAATAAGACTACTAAGTACTAGCATTATTCAACTATTTATCCTCCGGACTCAGGATGCAAAATCTCGAAATAACTTTCTTAATAAACATCAGAGGTTAGTGAACTACGAAAGCCTACAAGTTGCACAGAGCTGGCTTAATTTATTGGAAAAAAACATGCTCTTTTGGAAAATCATTAAAAGATTCATTGAATACATTTTTCTCTTTACTTACACTGTCATTATTACTGACCCCAAACTTTTTGATGATTTTATTAAATTTAGAACCAAAATGTCTATTGCTAATTAGAATGAATTACAAAAACTTACGAGATAAGGTGCGACGACAAAGGACAAACTGGCTCCTAGAGGAAACCGCTTCACATTTATCTTCCGTTCAATCGCCTCTTCCATGGAAGTCAATCAACGCGTACTAACTAGCGTACATCTATTTTTATCATTCAAAGAACAACGGGACACTGTTGTGACGGCAATGATTCACTCAATGGGCTACCATACTTTTGATCCTGTTTAGGACCTCTCCTACTGACTTGTTTATGGTAGACAGTGCATTCTACTTTCAGTTCTCCCACCTAGTAGTTTAAAACTATTCCTCTTATCGTATAATCGTAATACATTCTCAACGAAGATCGCGGACACTATAAACGGATAATGATTTATTCCACGTAATGCAATTTCAGTTGTATCATTCCATTAGTGAGTAGGTGGTGCGAGTACAATATTTAACACGTTTATGATCGTTAACTCTGCTAGTATATGTCTGTTTTTCCCAACCCAGGATGACACATCTATATTTTCTGATATTGAATGGCATGTTTAGTTAAAGATCAAATATTTGTTTTTATTAAGAATATTTTTTTTGTTACAGGCAACACTTCACAGTTACCCAACTTTTGAGGCGTTGCTTAAGGAATGGAGTGGGACTGATTGGCTTCGGAACTTCAACTGGTTAGATAAAGAAGTCAAAGATGGCCTTCCTAGGGACAACGTCGTCTACCAGCCCATGACTGAGGAGTACATGGACAACTTAATGGTAGGCATTCTTCACGTTTTCCATACTCTACAAGTACTAGATACACGCTACTTTTGGGATAAAATGTTATTTCTCTAACACACATAATATATATAATTTATTTAAATCATAAAATACATTCCAATTTCTTAAGCGTCTCTCTAGTACTCATTCCGTACTTTTTATATGTTCAGATTACGACTAACGAAACTTCAAGCGGGGCTATGTTGATAACTATAGTTACTTAACAAAGTTTGTAACGTTTCGATTGTCTTATAATCGAAGGCGGCGAATTCGCTGATGCCAAAAACGTGCATCCGTATGTGTTTTTCAATCGATTTCAAAGAATTGACATCGTCGGTGGCACTCATTGTTGTCAGCCGACCATCGTTTACGTGAGAACACAATGGTTTCGCAATGTGGACTTAATCGCAATCGTCAAATTGGGATTGATAAATGTTTTAAAATTGCCGCCGTCGAGTGTATCATGACGAAACCTTGGTATTGAAATATCGACTTGTTAGAAATACATGCACTTGCCGCCAAAAAGTATTGTTACATATATCAAACTAACTAATATTATCGCACCTAAGCGCTAGTCTAGCGCTACGCCGGTGCTACGGAAATATGTACTTTTCTAAATTAATTATCTCTTTCCTTTGCAGAACAATATTGACAGCCATTTGCCGTCAATGTACAAGGGCTTGAAAATGGTGGTCGCGGGCCTGTTCTCCATCAGTAAGGACGGGCTAAACGACGACATCTTGTCCGACGCGAGCCTCAAGCAGAACATCACAGAATCCATGCACAATGTGAGGGCAGTGCTGTGTTTGTTCAATGTAAGTGTCCAAACTTTTAATTTGTCACAGCTACGTAGGTATATCCCTTCTTGAGTTTAAAAAAAATAAAACAATAGAGTCTTTTAAATATTCATTTATTTGTAAATTCTCGTAAAAGAATCATACACACGTAATCTTTTATGTGTAAGTCCAACTTACACTTGGTATTTATAATATTTATATTAATAATTTTTCTTTTTTATTCCAGGATATCATGAGGTCGCGTAAGCTGGAAATATCTCCGCTTCCAGACTCGGAACTTCCAGATATAAAAGATGACAAAATCGTCTACGCTCTACTAGTATACAGGGATACGCTTAACTACTTAGAATACCTAGCCCAGGTCTTCCAGAAGATGTACGATGTGGATTCGCAGAACGCATAGTTGTGCTAGCTAATTGTGACACATAACAGTATTACCATCAATAAGTTGCATTGATACGGTCATGTACGATAGAAAAGCGCTGCCTCGTTGTGAAACTAATGTTATGTTGTGGATGTACTCAAGTACTTAATAAATTTAAAACAAGTACAAAAGTATACAAGCTCTCATAGAATAATCATAAATCATAATTAGGTCTTCGCTCTGTTGCTTGCGTCGTCTCTGTAACTTATTCTTCTAATACGGCCTTCCTGCAACAGGCTTGCAGAACAACTGCCCCATTTTATAAGTTTTAATTGTAAATTGAACTCGGGCTGTCTACTTAAGCGATGGTGCTTTTATAATGTTCAGTATTCCATTTTGGCCCAGAATCTCTAGTAAACGCGCCATCATAAAATAGTGGATTATTTTGCCATTACATTGCCATTCGATCTAGAGCGAATTAGTTCCTTTATGTAAATAGTTATGAGTTTAAATTGTATTATTTATTGATGAACAGGCAGCTTAATTCGAAATTTCCCGATGTCCTAGTCAAGGTAATTTATTTATTTCATACAATTTTACTATTGTAGTTTCAATTGCTTTTGTAATTTTAGAAATGATTAGTATTACTCTCATTCCACCAAACTTGAATGTGTCTAGTAAATTATTTAGTTGAATGTTATTAGATGAATGTTCTTGACGCGGTGTGATGGAATGGTGCGGTTGAGGCTGCAAAGGATAATTTAATTTGTACATTGTAATACTAGTTTCATTTTAGTATAACTCGAATTCTTTGTTAACTATTTATATTGCTGTTACAGAAATATGACTAGCTTTAATGGAGCAGCTAACTATATATTATTGTAAAGTACAGAGCCAGTGTATTTATGACTTAATCATTATTTGTATAGTTCAAATAGTATTTATAATTGCGCAAACGTAATGGCTATGTTTGTGATATTAAATTATTATTACATTTATTTCTTGTTTTTTATTTATTTAATGTTCACAATCATCGTATTATGCCCACAAAAATAGTGTTTTTTCTAAAAGCCAGAAAATTTTTACAAAGACAATTTAAGGTAATCTTTAAATTAGGTGGATTTTGTAACATGCCAACCATTTACTCTATAATGATAAATTAGTTCATAGTAATGTTGAGGTGAGCCTAGCCTTGGCTTTCGTCTAAAGCCACACAAAGTCAATGCCATAGTACTTAGCATCTGTAGGCTTATTCTAAAAATTTAAAATTAAGATACCGGTAACGGCAAACGGTTTAAATTCAGACCAAAAATTGATGAACTTTTATTTTTATTCATAATAAAAAGTAATTAGTAAAAATGTTATATACACGATACTTAGGTACCTAATGTCAATTTTCGCGAGTTATTGAAATAAGTTAATGGAATAAAACTTCACATATATTTAGTTAAGATACACCATAAAAATCTATTCGGGTTTCAATAAGACAAAGTTATTAGGTTGAACGTACACAAGGTATTTTAGACGACTTAAAATACTAAAAACAAGTCAGTTCCTATTTCTGAGCTGTTCCCATGACACGACTCTGGCAACAGTCACCTCTTTACATAACATATTCACACAACGACGAATATTTGCGTTGCCTCGGACCCTCTGAACGACCGAACAAGAATAAAAAGCCGAGAAATGTCGTTCATTCATAATTATCGTTAGTACGTGACCATAAGTCCTGTTACACACTGAGAGAAAACTGAACCTTTGAATATGTACCCACTAAGTAACTTTGTTTTCTCACCTCACTTATATTTCAATGTTTTAATCTAAAAAGGAAATCGTATTTTTTAAACTGACTCATTTTCGATTTGTCTCTGTCCCAAAACAGTAGAGTTTACACTAACATTCAGATGAAGTAAATAAAAATCTTCCATAAAATATTAGTGGAGTCTTTACTAAATACTGTCTATAGTTTATGCGAGTAGAACACATTTAAATAAAACACTAACGGCTTAAACGCGATATATTAGTTAAACTTCAAAACGTCGGGCCGAAGTTAAAAGTCATTTTCAAATAAATTTAACTAATATATCGTCTTTTAAACCGTTAAAGTGTTTAATTTAAATGGATTCTTTACTAGTCAAATCATTGACTTTTAGATAGTATGAAGATTGTCGAGATATCACATAGTCATATACTCTACAAAAGAAAAAAAGATGTAAAAGGACATTTATTTAAAAAAAACAAAATAGTTCATGTATATTAAGCTTAAACGACGATATTATTTACAATGATCAAACGCAGCCGGGTATTTATTTAATAAGTTAGTGGTAGCGAGTTGTCGCCGGGAGTTCGAGGGTTGTGACGTTTGGTTTGGAAATTAGACGGACGAATAAAAAGTATGCTCCATTTGACCCCCTACAAAGCCCCATAACTTAATAAAACCTAAAACCGTAACTAGAAGAGTTACGAATATTTTTAACTACACCACATTACCATAGAAACTAAGAACAGCTCGGAAAGGTTAACCTAAGATCTTGTACGTAAAATTGACGACTTATAAAAAGTAAATGAGCTATTTAAACTATATTCACAATATAATAGAAAAATTTTATCAAAATAATTTTCAAATACGTTCTAACTAAAATGCATGGCATTTTACTCGCGTATACTACAGATAGTATATAACAGAAAATTATTTCTAGAAATCCAGTCAAGCTATTTATATTTTCTGAAGTGAAATGTATTAAAAGTTTAATGAGAAGCCTACACACGCCTACATAGATCTATATGCAGACGTGAATCTTAGAACGCGAGCGAAAGAAATATTTCCTGTGTGTATCCGGTTAATTATAAATATAATAAGAAGACTTAAGATACTTTTTTGGTATCTAAAATAGTTTTTGTAGCGTTTTTCTCCGTGTTCAGCGCGCTCCCATTGGTCGCAGGTTAATGTGTTATTTACTATATCCTTCGATTAGTGGTCTATCGCATTATATTAGCGCATTTAAACAAACAAACTCTTCAGCTTTATATGACTGTATATTGTAGTTTTAATTATATTATTTAAAGAAGATAAAATCTTAAAACTTGATTCGGTAATTCACGTCGTCATTTTCGTCTCTACGTCAAATTTACGAGCAACCCTTCAGCCATTAAAGATCTCAAAATATTTTCACATTCATTTAACGATCCGTCGGCGGACCTCAATGACGATGTAAGCTCTGGAGCACATGAACTCTTTATCTTACTCACGTTCCCCTGTTTTATTTATTAGATTTATTATTTACAGCGGCCAGTGGGCACACACACGGTGTGTCACGAAACTGGAACGACAAAACGAGGTTATGTTAATGCCCACACGTGACAATCGCCTTTTTAATCATTCGTTTAAACTTGTCATTTGTTTCCTGATTAAAAGAGCCCGGGTTTTCACAATGGGATCCCTGAACAAGATTAATTAATATACCTAACTAGAAAGAAAAACTTTTTAAAGCCTTATGGGCAATGTCGTAGCTTACGCATCAAAGACAAATAGAGTCGTGATCAAAGCCATACTTGACCCGTGAAACCACAAGTCTGCCGTGACCGTACAAACAAACATATGAACACAGCAACGAACAACAGTCCTTGTTTGTCGTTATCTGTGTGCTTTGCAGGCCCTTAAGATAAATAATTGATGTATATGATGTAAATCACTATACTTAAATAAATAAAAAGAAAACTTAATATTTTTACATGTTTGCACATGAAGGCACTATATAATTTAAAAATCGAAAAGAAATTGTTTTTTTTTGCTTTGCTCTGCTCTGAGAGCAACAGCACGGAATGCTGACGATGCCGGTTCAAGCCTGCCCGAGTCGAAATTTTTTTCAATTTATTTTCGATTTTTAAATTAAGTAAAAAGAAACCAAGTTTTAAAATTCAAATATTTTGATATTAATTGCGGCCTTTTTAAATTTAGAAGTCATTAGCCAATAGTTCTAGTTTATATCTATATTTCGTTTATATTCTTTCATATAATCGACATGTGACCATATATATCTATAATTAATATTATAAAAGTGAGGAGTTTGTGTGTTTGAACGCGCTAGTCCCGGAAACTACTTGTCCGAGTTGAAAAATTATTTTATTAAATAGCGAAGAAGCAGTGGAAACTGTGGAAAAAACGGGGAAAATTATTTATCTTTGAGAGTTTCTGTTGCATGCCCTGCAAACGCAGAAAACGGTTCAAGTCTGCAACATCTCTTTAATGTATTTATTATTATTAACGATGACATTGTGGATATAGGGTATATTTTTTTAAGATGAGGAGAAGGTTTTGCAAAAACAATTGTTTATGCCTAAAATACTATTCTACGAGGTCGATATCGCGACATAATATATAAATATATTATGTTCGCTGTGACGCTTGATAAATTATACATTTAGCATCTCGGACTCCATCACTATAACAGCTATAAAACCTACTCTTGACAGTGAAAATATTCCGTCATATCACATAAAAACGGGAACATTGTAAGCGTCATGTCGCCGACCGCCGTAACGACACCAACATTACAAGCACTTATCTTATAATTGCAACTAACTCTCACTTAATTTAATTTTACTTTAACATTAATTACGTGTAGTCTTGCTTAGGTTTTTCTTCGAGTAATTAAATAATAGCGGAAGGGTCACTTACATCTCGCTACGGACGAGAAAGAACAGCGAACACTCGTTTAGCGGAGCCAGAATATGTAACGGTGATTGATGACTAAGAAATATATTTATTACTAAAATGACAATATTATTATGTGTAATAAAAAAAAATCACTCGCTTAATACGTAATTTCAAAAATGTTACCAGAACATAATATATACTTTTCACTATACTTAAAGGATACAGACAGTTACGAAATGTTTTTATGGCTTCGGTAGTATTGTAATTCGGGAAAGTCCTAGGTTAAAGTTTTACTTTACACCAAATTAAAAAGTTGCCATCCAAAAAAACATGTACAGCGGCATTTATATACAAGGCTGCTAGAGGCAGAGTGGCCTAATAA